ATAAAAAATTAGGGGAGATATGTATTAATCAAAATACCAGTGTCGTCTTTCTCCAACATTGTCAAATTAATAAAAGCAGCCATGACGTCAAATAGAATGGTATCATTTTAAGTAATTCATTACATTTGATTACATTACATTAGTGCTTCATTAATAATGGTGCAACATTTGTCAAATAACACTTGCACAATCAGGAGAATATTGGAATCTAAGGACTAATTTATGGGTTAGAAAGGGCCATCCATTTCGCTATTACTTATCTTTTATGAAGTACAATTTCGTCATTTCTTATGGGTTTTTTATGCCTAAACGTATACAGTATCAATATCGATATTTGTGTTGGAATAGTTTGGTTCCTCGTGAACACCACGAAAATGTATTGTCCTTACCCACAGCTAATTGCTAAACATAGCGGAGTTATGCCCCCTTTTCTTTGAAAGCGTGTAACCTCTCTGTCGCCTTTTGACGTTATTGAGGTATATCAGTTTTCGTCATTTACAGCAGGCTATTTTTTGCATTGAATTTAAGTCATTATACATATGCATATAACTCCATTTGATATATTATTTTGCCCTTCAAATATTAGGCAGTATTTTGTTTGCTCTGTTTCGGTAAAGCTGCTAAATAAAAGAAATCATCGCTCAGTACTTTTATCGGTGTTCGCTAAAACGCGGAGAAATTTCCTGTATTTCAGCGCAGAATAAATTCTCGGACAACACCTAGAAGTGTCTTTTTTTAAAACCAGTTTAATATTTACAGTCAGATTTACACCATCAGATGGGAAATTTAATATTCTTCATCTCTGCGTAATTTTATAGCCGGAGGTAGATCAGGTGCCACATGAGGGCAATTCTCGTACAACCTTCACTTTTTCGATCTCAGGCAAATGTAAGTCAGAAAAAAACACCTCAGCATCCAATGATTACCGTAGTACGGTATAACGTGTGCGTGTCCCTATGACGACAGTCTTAGACTTAGACTTAGCTAAGATTTTGCTAAGACCGTTTCAAGATCCAGTCTTAGACCGAATCTTAGCTGAGCAAAATCTTAAAAACTTAAGACAAAATTCATGCATAGCAAATTTTGAGCTAAGACGATATGCTGTCATGTTGGGAAGTCACAAAAGCAGGGTCAGAGGAGTAACTTGCACAGCTAGCAGGGTCAGTCCGGTCATCTGTAAACTGATAGACAGGATATTCAACAAACAAGTTGTGAATGTACCAGCCAATCTTAAGAGTATGTGAATTCCTTACAGAACACAATGCAGGATGTGCATAGGATGGCCAGGTCTTATATCCAAACAACATTACAAAGAATAAAGTGGGATTATGACCCATGAAAGTAAATACACCAAAGGAGATTTGGTGTATGTTTAAGACACCACGAGAAGGAGGGAGGATCATGCAATCATTATAGGCAACCATTAGAGCAGCTAATCATTGTACGCGGACGTAATCATACTACAACATTTTATTATCCTCTCACATCCAATAAACCACACATTTTATGCTGAACAACAAAGGTTCCTGTGACATTGAATAAGATTTAATGCTAAGTTATGTTTTTTACCAAATCTGAAACATTTTCGGTTTGCAACAGATAAAAGACTCCTGTAAGTGTTCAAATGGTTTAATTTGCCATACTGACTTCAGAAAATGCGTGATTTCATAAAAAACATGATCATGCCAAAATGTCAATTTACAAATCAATAACTATGTCCACCGCTGGTTGCGATGTAAGCAACACTTTTCGTCTCATGGAATGGACCAGGCATCGCACAAAGTCCTGTGGGATATCTGTCCAGATCTGCTGGAGCATGTTTCGAAGTTTCTGGAGTGTCTTAGGAACACGTGGTTGACGTCGAAGACGCCGATCCATCTCATCCTACATGTGCTTGATTGGTGAGAGATCAGGGGAGTAAATCGGCCAGGGGGTAACAATCACGTTGTTTTGTTGAAGAGAATCCTGAACAAGTCGAGCAATGAGGCTCGGCATTGTCCTGTTGAAAGGAAATGCCTGGGCCATGACGACGCAAAAACGGTAGAACAACAGGTCGGATGATCTCATCACTCACACAGAGGATGGTCTATGACTGCATTCGTCTGTTGCCAAAGTTGCCATTAACACCAAATGGTGTTTCTGTGGACGTTTAATTGTCTTGCAACATCACGTTGACTCGATCCTGCTTACCAATACCAATACCAATGGCTCGCAGACGCTCATTTTCGGACAGGCGTGGAATTTCGTAATGTTGAATAATTGTGTAATTTTGTTGTTTTTCTGAGTGGTTGTTGTCAGCACGATGCTAAACAATTCATATGGAATCACGTTAATGCACATGTTTATATACCCATGGGGCTTGAATAAAAGTCAACTTTTGCATGGGATGCATGCTTTTCTGTAGCAGTTGCGTTTTTGTGACTTGATTCCATACATGTACTACAATATTGAAAACCAGACTTTACTTTTTTGAAAAATACACTAAAATATTTGTGTCACAGGAACTTTTGTTGTTGAGTATATATCCAATGAACAGTCACATTTTCCTTACTTGAGTCGTTATATGGCTGAAATAATGCTGAATTTTAATTATAACTCACTCTTACTTGAGGGCTGAATGTTTCACTGAAAATAAAATGGAGTTCACTTTGATTGTACCCTGTGAGTAACTCTGCCATTGGGCTAAAATTTTAGCCAAGTGAGCTTTTGCTGTGTTTCTGGAGTCTGACATGTGTTGTCCATCATAAACGTCTTTAACACTGGACCAATTTAGCTGAAAATTCCCACTAGTGACTCTCCAGTTTGTTCTGCAATGTTGTAAAACCTATCTATGGCCATTACTCGGCCATTTTTGTTCATTGTGTAATAATTACAAAATGAATTTGTTACACAAATTTAGGCAATTCTGATTGATCGAGAGCTCCCGTAAACATGGATTTATACAACATATATACACATTTTCCAGGAAGTGACAGAACTACTTTTCAAATAACTTTGACCTTCTTTATGTCTTTAAATAGCTTGATGTTGGGAATTCTCTTCAGGAATACCGATATTGATTTTTTTCAAGCAACTCTTTAAAGATCCATTTTATAATTGTTTTTCATTTTTTGTGCATTCATCGAAGAAAAGCATTCACAAATTTTGATGAATTAAAATTTTGAAAACTGCCTGTTAGCTAATTACATGAACCATGTTTGAAATTACAATGTTAGCTGCTTCTCCATCGCTTGCTGTCACTGCCATGCTGGGATATGATGTCATTAATATAGTCCCTTCCAAAAACAAATAGGTTTGAAGTGTTTCTGGCTCAGGTATAATATCGGTGAAAGTAAAGCATTTATGCAAACGATATAGTATATGGGTATCCATTCAATAAATTTTGTTTACTCTTGCGAAAACACTTGTTTGTTACTTTATGATGTAGCGATAAAGTTGTATTCATGTATTCTTGCGCATGTTACTATGTGAAGCGAAATGATCAAATTTGTCAACAAACCAGATAAATAGAGTAAAATATCAGATAAAGGTTGATTTTGTAATTATAAGAATTGTTTTTTATTTTTTGTGCATGCATCGAAGTATAAGTCACAAATTTTGCATAAAATTGCTCCACTACACTATGCAATTTAATACAATTTGTGACTGTTATACTTTGCTGCATGCACAAACAATGAATAACAATTCTTAAATGAAATGAGGTAACTACTAGTTTGTTAATGGGCTCAACATATTTGCTCTGTTTTATTGCAATATTTTAAAAATTGACCTTGTTTTGACCATGCTTTCATATTCTCTCAAAATGCTTAAATGACACTGTAAACTTCTTCTCTGAAGTTTTTTGTTTCCTCAGTATTTATTTGGAAAACAGTAAATTTTTAATTAATGTGTCTCAAAATTAATACGCCTGCTGATCCCAAGCCAAAAATGCAACTCCATCCACCCAATCCCCAGTGGAATGATACTTATCCTTACCTTAATCCAACCTTACCTTAATCCTGTCAAACAACAAATAGCACCACTTATTAGCGCTGAGGACCGCCTCCGTGGTCTAGTGGTAGAGCGTCCGCCCGGAGAGCGGAAGGTCCGGGGTTCGATCCCCGACTGCGTCATACCAAAAGACGTTAAAAGATGGTACTTGTTGTTACCCTGTCTGGCGCTCGGCATTAAGGGGCTAAAACAAGGACTGGTCGGCGCGGAGTCAGTATACTGTGTCTGAGTGGGGTATTCATGTTAAACTGCGGCATGGTATCTCAGTGAGCTAGCACTATAAATCGGCATCAGTCTGGACTAGTACAAGCAGCCACACACACACACACACACACGTGCATGCACGTCGCTATATAAGTGCAATAATCTTGGACGTGACGTTAAACCCCATTTCACCTCACCTATTAGCGCTGAGTAGAGCACTTCCACAACAACAATAAACAATGTTTTCCTAAAAAGAACTCACAGTTTATATGTTTATTCTGTTGACTATCTTAAAGGAATTTCAAAGGCAATAAAATAATTGAACCAGCAACAGTTCACTGATTGGTATGCAGAGAAGGTGTCAACAAACTTGAAGGCAGATGACAAGACAAAGGCTATAGATCTGAGGGGAGTGTTAAAGTCTATTGGTGCATGTTGGGTTGTGTCGGCCTTTGAGGCAGTGTTGCTATGGTGGCATCTGTATGGACTGCTGGAGTGGTCAGTGATGCCTAGTTTGACATGAGTGGGTAGAATACTCGACCCCAGCAGTGATAACTCATTGGATGCTTATTGTGTAATTCCTATTCTTTGAATGACATTGTTATACTAGTTACAACTGCTGCTCAATAAACTGTGTTTGTGTGTATATTCAAGTTAGTAGTGAGGCCGTCTTATTGTTGATAGTCATTTTGGAGACATAAATGCAAAGTTTCATGTGAATAAAGACCACTTTCATTTTTCGCATTTAATTCACGTTCGCATTAATTAAAAGATTTACAGTGCACTATTTTTGTTTGTCTTTTCAGATTGAGGAATTAAACAAGTGTCTATATCTAACAGCAAAACCTGTGATATATCTGGTGAATCTGTCTGAGAAGGATTACATCCGAAAGAAAAATAAGAGGTTTGTAGCGCCATCATTTGATATGAATATAGAATGAAGATTCTAATTTGTCGACATTCTGTGATGCTGAAACACATAATCAACTTAAACTTGAAGGACAAGAAAACAATTTTAGTAGTGAATATTTACACACATGACAAAGAATGTGACAAAATAACATTGCTGTGTTTGATTATCTCATGCCCAAATCCACAGAACAACTATGTCAAATATTTTTTTTTTAAAAAGAAGAGGGTTTTCAGAGTGTTTCAGTAAAAATAATTACTAAAGCAACCGTATGTGAGGGTTTACAATTTTATGAATATTTTTATGCATGACCATTTGGGGTGAGTCTTGACAGCATCAACTTTCAATTGGTTAAGGTCAGTTGAGGTCTAATTATGAAACATTGCTTAAATTGCTTAAATTTCAGATTAATTCGTTATGAAACCCAACATTTTTAAATCAGTTTTGATGGACTAAGTAACTAACATGTCATGGCCATGTCAAATGTCAAGTCACTTTGACAAAAAATAACTGCTGTATGTTGTGGTATTTATAGACTTAGTTCATGTTTGTAACACCATCTAAGATTGGAACAAGTAATATGTTCTTGCATTTAATTGGATCATGTTGAAGGTCAAGGTCAATCAATGAGAATTAGGCTTTAGAAAAGCTTGGGTATGCAATAGTTTGAGGATTTATATGATGTGAATTTGATAAAACTTTGTAAACATGATCTCAGGGCAGGGTCTCATTCCAATGATCTCCAAATATGTCACATAAAACAATTAAGAATGCTTTTAATTAATTCAATACCTATCATGTGTCACAATTGTGTACAATGTCAAGGTCACTAATGCTCATGTTAAAGGTCATTACAATTGTGAAATATCTTGTAAATAGTTTCATTAAGCATCAGTGAAACTTGGTACATTTCATCCAAGTGACATATGGCTCTGATCTGAAATGATTGTAAGTATAAGATCACAGTGAAGCCCATTTGTGAAGTATGTTTGCAACTACAGTGCCTTTCCTGCAGATTTAAAGAAAAAGGTTTATTCATGTAGTGGTCATTTTGTTTGAATATGATGATAATCTGGTATGCAATTAATAGTATCTTGCTACCTGTACTTCATGTGCATGCATAAGGCAGGACAACCTCACTTCTTTTCTGCGTGTGCTTGTGACATAGCACATTACATTTGGAAGTTGTCACTATATTTGATCATTGGTATAACAAAGATTAGGATTATTATTATCCTGACATCCAGATGAAGAAGATAGGTACCTTTTTAGCTCACCTTAGTAACTCATAGTTCCATAGCTTATGGGGTAGAAGTGTGTTTTGGGATTGACTGGGAGCTGCTGACCCCATCAACATCATCTTCCGTCAAGAAGTGTGGTCACTTCATGATCGCTGTGGATCCACACAAGCTTTGTTGAAAGTGCAGACCTAGGAGATGCATGGAGGATATTAGGTAACCTCAGTGCTCATGTTTCTACGGAGGTGTTTTCCAAGGTGGCGAAGTCCTGGTAAAATCTAAGAGGAAGGAGGCTGCAAAACAGATGGTCCAGTGCAGGTTCAGTAGGGATCAGTACCCAGATGTCCCATCCAGAAGCCACAAAGGGGACAGGAAGCCACATCGTGCACCATTCTTGGAAACCAGTCATAAACACAATCAGACGCCACACCCACCTCCTACCATGTTAGAAAGCAAGAGGCGATGCAGGCCATATTTGACCAGAGCTTTTGGTCATTTCAGCAGAGATGGCTGACTTAAAGAAGACTCAGTCGCCTCTGCAGACCCAGAAGAACATAAAGCTTTTCAGGTCAGGTGATGTAGAATGTAGCCTTTGTCGCTTCAAGCTTGGACAGGGTACCACATGGACACAGCAATAGGCCAATAAGCTTGGGTCCCAATGAAGAAAGCCGTTTAGTTATCTTGAAGAATTGCCTACAAGAAGAAAGGGCTTCTACACAACCAGCATGGTAAATATGCGTCTGACTGAGTAGTTATATCCTTGAAGCTCTATCCCCAATGCTCATCAGGTTCATCAATGCAGCTTCTTGTTATTCAAAGACCGCCTCTGTGGTCTAGTGGATAGAGCATCTGCCTTGTGAATGGAATGTTGTGGGTTTGATCCCTGGCCATGTCATACCAAAAGATGTTAATAGATGGTACTTGTTGTGGTCAGCTCGGAGTCAGTATACTGTGTCGTAGTGGGGAATTCATGTTAAACTGCGGCATGAAACCTCACACTCACGGAGTCTATTCTATTTACAGTTCCAAAGAGGAGACACCCTTGTGACACTTGTTTATTGTTTCAATATGCTACATCTTTGAATATACCAAATGTGATTTTTGTAGCCATAATAGGGACACACCTTTGCCCCAATTTGTCTGTGTGTCCTGTGTTAGACAGGCCAGGACACTGTACAGAGTGTCCCAATTCATCCAGGATTTGTCAGAAGGATGTGTAAACAGTGTTCTAATTAAGACACGCATGCTCAGTCATTGTACAGTGTCTGGTGAATGTCCCCATTTATCCAGGGTCGATCAGAAGGATGTGTATACAGCATCCCCATTTAGTCAGGTTGACAGGCTTAGTAACAGTAATTAGAATTTACCTAATGTTGTGGCTTCACATATCTCTACCCATAAGCTTACATGTTATGAATAGAGACTTTTAAAAAAATTGGAATAGATAGAGTTCCATGAAAAAGGTAAATCTGCCGTTTTTGAAAAATCATTAGAAAATCGTAAATTGCACCTATAGCGATTCTGTCAGGCTTTTTTTAATGCCTATGCAGATTACCTTTTGTCAACTGAAAACAACAACCCCAATGCCGAAAAAACAACAATATTTACAGTTTGTTAGGTCAATGTCCCCATTCATATAGTGTCATTCAGAAGGATGTATATACAGTGTCCCCTTTTAGACAGACTAAATCATGGTCAGGTCAGGCACGTGTCCCCTTTAATCCAGAAGTGAGCCACAACCCATCCCAGCAAATCCTATCCTTAATGGTTTTCTAGCACTGGATTGATCGGGACAACACTGTCTGAATGTCCATAACATAAGTGGAAGACCAGGTTTCAATACCCAGTTGGGTCATACCAATGTCCTTCAAGCTTGGCACTTTGGGTAGAACTGGTGTGATATGACTGGGTGGAGAGGTATGTCCTGTGTCTGTGGCATGGCACCCCAGTGACATATTTGGCCACCCATCCGCAAGCAGGCACCCTCTGATGTTACTGAAAAACTTTTGAAAGTGACGTTAAAAACCACGAAAAAGGCCTCACAACTGCCTTGAAATGCACTGGGTCATTACAAGTGTAATACTGAAGTTATATTTTTTTAACAGTGTTTAATTAAAAAAATAATGTTTCTTAAGGAGGCCTGTATGGAAAGTGGAATTTTATTACCAATGTAAAATTTACTAGACTTGTCAACTCTTGATCATTGTTTTTGTGCTAGTGTGTTTTTACATGCAAGTTCAGACTGAATGAAAAATATTTTGCGCCAATAAGATAGATTCAGGAGTTTTTATTCCCATACCTATTTGAGCCCTGTATCGACACATCCTCATAGTTCAGGGCTAAAACTGCACAATTTCTGTTGTTTTCAAGTATAAAGGCCTAGTTCGGAATGATTCAGGATGGTGTGAACATGGCCCAAGACAAGTTAATCTTGTTAAGCGAGTTAATCTATTTTATAATCCTGATACACTGTGGTAATGTTACATCCGGTGAGGTTTAAAAGAAGTACGGCATTAGTGTTTAGATTATGCATTAAAACTTTACGGATTTGTTTCAAAATGAGTAAGAGGTAAATTGATTGAAAAATGTGACTAACCAACACTGTGTCTCGATTGGTTTTAAAGCAATATAAAAGTTATAAAGCAATAATGCAAACATATTACCTCTTGACAATACAAATTTGCAAAATACAATATCCTATTCGCAGCAAAACAAAAATGTTGTACATCAGTGGAATCATATAAGCATAAGTTCCCAGGTTGACTTAACCCTTTGATACCCTTTCAAACATATGACTGAAATCTAATGTACAACAACCACCTGTGTTTGTTTGTTTGTTTATTTAAGGCTGCACTCAGCTTTGTGATGGAGGTCTGTAAATAATTGAGTCTGGACCAAACAATCCAGTGATTGACATCATGAGCTTCAATTTACGCAGTTGAGATACAATGACATGCATCAACCAACTCAGCGAGCCTGACCACCCAATGTCATGAGTCGCTCCCTACTACAAGCATAGTTGCCTTTTATGGCAAGCATGGGTTGCTGAAGACCTATTTTACCCTAGATCTATGTGAATATGTTTTGTCCGTGGCTAGATGAGGAACCAGGTAATGTGTGTATCCCCAAGATATTTTGGTGTATACCTTGGTCTGCAACAATAGCATGAAATGGGGACACTTATCCCGATACAGAAATACATTACATGGCGGTAAAAAAATGGTGTGGAATTTGTTTTCCGACATTATCTTAAATGGGGACGTCCCCATTTGACACCGCACACCCGCCCACCCACGTGCACCAGGGGAATTATATAAACGTGACTTCCTATGTTGACTTAACTGGCGGAAATGTTTGTTTCCCTTTCAAACATAGGACTGAAATCTTATGTACAACAACATCGCCATGAAAAAGAAGTTGGCCTCTTCTTTCGTTGCCATTTTACTTTGTAAGGATCCTGATATGTAACAGTCAGTTCATCAGTGGGATGCCACACTGTGCCTCACTATGCAGGATTTACTCCTTAGCTTTAGTACAGGGAGCCACAGATCTTCTGTAGGGGGCGTTTTCACGAAACATTAATTGATGTTAAATTTTGTAATGAATTGAATTTTTAATAAAAAAGTATCTTGTTCCTCTAATCTTGCTGCTTAAATCATGTTTCAGGTATTTCTACACAGTTGTTCATCTAATTCAATTGTAATGTCTAATATTTGTTATTATATTTGCAGAGCACAGATTGATGTAGACTGATAA